CACAATGCTCCCCCACTTGTACCGCCAATGACTTCTTGCAATGAAACACCATTTCCTCGACACAGGCTCATGATACCATGTTGAGGGGAGATACTAGGAGCATTGATACATAGTGTAGGACTAGGAACCTTTGTGAAACGCACACCACTTATCCACCTAAAACCTTAAAGTGATAGGTGAGTGAGTTCTCTCACTTATATATATGCTTAAGTCTCCACATTCCTATCCAATGTGAGACTATTTCCCCACTTACTCACATTTTGCTATATTATTCAAACAAAGACAGTCATTACGCTTATATTCCCCAACACTAATGATGCCATTTTAATATCCAATGAAGCACCGAGGAGTAGTAGGAATTAAAGGAGTCATTTAAAAACTTCAAAACTCTTCTATGGATATAATTAGTGGAAGCATAGATGGCAGATAAACCAAAACATTTATCCTGATAATTTAAGGATAAAGCAACACGATGACCAATACAAAATATAATAAAGTCAATAAAAAATAATAATACAAATTTCAAAGACCGTAAAATAAAATAATAATGTAAAATAACTTGGAGAAACTGAAATTTAAAATTGATTATTGATCCTCAATACAAAAAGACTGGTGTGAAACGGTGGGAGAACTGACTTGAGTTTTACGTTTGTATTCGCACTTGTTCGGTTTAGCAAGAGTCGCCACCGACTTTTTATTTTATCCTAAAGGAAAGGTTAAAAAGCACAGGAAAAACCTTTTGAGATGTTTCGTGGGTTCGGGGGGTAGATTATGAAAAAGGAAGGTATTAACACCCTTTTCATCCATGGTTATCCATGGGCTCTTAGTTACTTGGTTTTAGATCACTTGCCTTGATTTTTGATTGCTTGAAATGTTTGATGTCTGGTATGTTCTGAGTATGCCTGTGACTGTATGCTTGTTGGTATGTTTGAGTTGCCTTCGTTGATTCTGAGATGACGATTTTTTGCTTTTGTGGGTTACCCAATGATGAACTCTTTGAGTTCTGAGGGTTTTTGTGTGGGTTCAAATGTTTTGAGTTGTTTTTTGAAAGCTTGCCCAATGATGAAATTTTCTGAGGGCTCGTGTTGGTTAGGCTTCTGTATATTTAGATACTGGTTTTGGTTGGATGCTTGACAAGGCTTGACAGGTTGGGACAAAGGCTTTTGAAATTACAGGCCTTGGCTTTAGCTTGACCAGGTAAGGCTTGGATGGTTTAATGACTTATGCCGGTCTGATTTGTTTTGAGTTTTTTTGGGTTGTGTTAGAAAAAATGGCTTTAAGGCTCAAATAGGTTATGGCTATTGTTGGATAGTTTAGGCTTCTGGTTCATGGCCTGACAGGCAGCTTTGAGTGTTTGTATATTTGTTATGCAGGATTTGAAAGGCTTATGCAGGTTTAAGGTTTGTTGTGAGGTTGGAAGGTTTGGTGCTTGATGAAGGCTAAGGCTTGTACTTGACAGGTTGGGTGTTTAAGGCTTATACTTGACAGGTTGGGTCTTTTTGTTTGTTGATAGTGAAGGCAGGTTAGGCTTATAGAAAAGTCTTTGAGGCTTCTGAGATATATTCTACAAGTTGTTGGCTTTTTGTCTATCTTCAGGGTCTTTGCCTCGTGGTCTTTTGAAAGGCATGAGCTATTATATTTTTTTGTATATTCTTTCTTGGTCAAATTTGTGGACAAGTTTGCAAGGCTTGAGGTTTTCCCTCTTTGTGCTATCCTGCTGCATATGTTCTGCCTCTTTTTCTCTATGTATTCTGATATGCTGTTTATATCTTTTTGCTTAGCTTCTAGCCTGCTGTACTGTAAACTGTTTTCCTCTCTCTTTCTCTCTCCAGATTAAAAAAAAGCACTTTTATTGCTTAAATTTCGTCTTTTCTGAAAAAACAAAAGGCCTAGGAATATGATGCATTTTGAATATTGCTTGCAATTGTCCTTTTTCCACTGCATATTTCCATGTTTCTTGCATACTTTATGTACTTTCCTTTGGCAGCTCTTGGAATTGTTGATATTTGATATCTTTGGACAGCTTTTGGAATTAGTTTGACAACGTAATTCAGCTTGCCTTGGACTTGGTTTGGCATGCTGTTTGTTTGGAAACTATGCGGTTGGTTGACAATCCTTTTGATTTATGCAGTATGCTTAAGAATTTTGAATTTGTGCAAAAATCATAACTTTGTGCATTCATGTTTCATTGCAAGCATTTCATCCCTCTTTGTGAACCGGGAGAAATCTCGTGATTTACAAATAGGGAAAAACTGATTCCGGCCATTTGTTTTTAATGATGAACCTTTTTAACTGTCTATCTTTAATTATTTTATCTGCTTTGACTTTTCTTTTGTTTCTTGTTTTGCAGATAAAAAATAAATGAGCAACAAGGGAGCATTGGATAGAAGATGAAGACTTAGAAATCTTAGAACATAGTTTTTATTTCAATTTAAATTATTGTAATATTATTATTGTAAATATTTTGTAAACAATAACAATTATACAAATAATTTAAAGATAAATAAAAAGTCCTTTTATTGACATTCATTTTTAATTCTTCTTCAAATATTTATCTAATTGTTTATAATTCTTAAATTAAAATAAGATGGAAATAAATTCCAATTATCTTAACTTAAAATAAATAATCAATTGATAAACACTGTGGTCTTATCATCAATCAATAACAAACCCGGCGCTCCAATTATCCAAAGCAATGCACAGTTAATCAAACCAAGCGACAATTAATCAAACAAAACGTCCACATGCCTCCTTTCACTGATTAAATCCAAACAAACTGCAAATTAACAACCAGCAGTCTCAGTTCTTATTTCAGGGTATTTTGAAAAGCATTGATAGAACTATCTCTTCTTGAGAAATATGCGTATAAAACCCTGATTTTTGACTTAACACTGGAGAAACGCCTGCCTGATCAAACTTTGAGCCAATTCACCAAACCTAAGAAATCTGTTTGAGCTGTCTTAAAATCAATGAAAACCCTAAATTTTGTCCGACTGACGAGAAAAGTCTGTTTGACCGATTCTTGAGCCAGTCTGAAAAAATTAGGAAAAGCCCGAAACTGCGATTTCTTGTGGAGAAAGAGGAGGGCAAATTTTGGGGTACAACAACTGGTAATTCAGAGCAGGATGAAATATTTAAATATAAAAGATAGCTTCTTAGATAAACTTAAATAATCTTAGATAAACTATAATAATTTTTAACATCTTTTTGTCCAGTCAAACTAACTCTTTTGACAGTTGTGCAAATAAGTCACGAGTGCGAGTTTAAATTCTGACATTTCACTTATTCTTTAATAGGTTGCTTGACAAAAAAACATATTTTCTTTTATATTTCATCGTCCCAGAGGTCGTTGAGACTGGGCTTGGTTGGTCCAGGAATCAAACGATTCTGCTTAATTTGATCAATTTTATCATGATCCTCCTTTGTCAATGTCCAATCAAAGATACTCAAGTTTTGACCCATTCTCTCCTTATCATAGCTCTTTGGAACAAAAGTGATTCCTTGTCAATATAACCATCTCAGAGAAATTTGTGCAACAAACTTTCCATGAGCATCAACAATCTCTTTAAGCACATCATTCTCCATAACCTCATTCGCTCCTCTGCTTGCAACTTTCCTCAATGGTGAAAATGCTGTAAACAGTATTCCATTTTCATTGCAAAACTCTCTCAACTTCTTTTGTTTCCATGAAAGGTTCATCTCCACCTATACATACACAATCACGTTATATAAATACACATTGATAATCAAACAAAGTTTTAATCTAAATTTATGTTTAATTTATGATTTACTTGATTAACCGCTGGAAGAACAGTGGCAACAGATAGTAGCTTTTGAAGTTTCTTGACAGAGAAGTTACTAACACCAATAGCTTTAGTGAGTCCAAGTTTCAAAGCTTCTTCCAAGGATTCCCACACACCTTTCACATCAAATGGCAACAGATCAGCCACATAAATTGGAAATGAAAACTTTCCAGGATGAGAGCTAAGTGGCCAATGAATCAAATACAAATCCAAGTAATCCAATTGAAGAGTCCTGCACAGAATCAACCAATAAGTATATGTTTCGATTCTCTTTCACGGGAGATAATAAAAGTGATTGATTCTAGTTTACTTACTTGAGAGATTTTTGGAGAGCAGGAATAACAAGATGAGGATGATTTTCAGTAACCCAAAGTTTGGAAATAACAAAAAGCTCTTCTCTAGTAACAAGACCAAGTTGAATAGCCTCATTCAAAGCTTCACCAAGAGATTGAGTGCATATTTTTTTAGTGCTCTGGTTCTAAACACAAATAAATCCTAAAGTGGGGATCTTTGGAGAAAAGATGACTCAGTCATCAGTGAAGTTTGGTACCACATGCATGAATCAACGAAGTTGAATTACATTCTTTGTGCATTGCATGGTTATTGATTAAGTGAGGTTGATGATATTGTAACTTAAGTGATGTTTGGTGATGAATGTGGATTTTTGATGATTTTATGATGAATATGTATGTATGTTATTATGGTCTAAAGTTATGAGTATAATACTTGGTAAATGATGATGTATGGATTTCATGATGATGTTGTTTGTAACTACTATATATTTTCCTTATATATTTTGTAATGAATTGTTATTACTTACCCTTTCTATTTGAATGTTGCCTCCACGTGAGTAACACGCAGGTGATCGCGAATAGATCGTAGAAGCATGAGGATAACTTTGGAGTCTTAGTGTGTTTCATTTGAATAAAAATGTTCTTGCTCTGATATGTAACATCAGGGTTTCGGGAAACATTTGACTTGAACCTTGTGTTCGTTTTGTTGACATGATGTATAAGTTGTTTTTAATTGTTTTAGTTGTTTTGAATCATGACTTATGAATGATGAAGTGCGATGGAGTTTTCTTTGGAAGTTTATAATGAAACTATGTTGAGATAATGATTCCGCTGCGAAGTTTTGAAGTTATGAGTTGATGTTACTAAAGATATAATTGTTTTTAATTTTTGAAAACCCGTGTTAATGAGCAGGATAATTAATTACGATATTTTTCTGAAGCATGTGACACCCTTATTGGTGCTTTACTCTGATTTAATTATTGAATTATTCGTGAATATTCCTTGTGGTTTAGATGAGTATTACAACCATCATCATCCTCTCTTCTTCTTCATGTTTTGCAAACTTTGTATCACTTTCTTGATTCTTTTCGCTTTTATGGACAATCACTAGAATAACGATCATACTTCTGACAATTGAAACACTGAATGTGATTCTTATCAAGTTTTTGACCACCACCTATTCCTCTACCTCCAGCACCACCTCTTTGTTGCTTTGTTATGGGGGTTCTCACTGATTCGACACAATTTCTTCCTGTTGATTTTATCTATCAGTCGAATTGTTGTAGCTTCATCCAACTCTGATGTCAAACCACTTTCCTTTGCATTTCTTTTCTCTTGCTGATTGCGCTTGCAATACCGCATCCCTCTTTGAGTTGCCTGTAACTCTTTCAACTATTCTTTGTTCATGAGATTCAAGCGTCTCTTGAAGCTTTTATTTTTTCAATGTCGAAAAATTCTTCGACTCTTCTATGGCTACCAGCACGTAGTCGAACTTTGGAGCCAATGACCTCAAGATCTTTGCAACAAATGATCTTGTTGTCAACACTTCTCCATATACCTTGATTTGATTCACCGATTTCGTAACCCTAGTGAAGAAATTAATTATGCTTTCACTTTCTTCCATCTGAAGCAATTCATACGTTCTTTTGTGATTTTGTAACCTCAACCCTTTCACCTTTTTTGCAACTCCAAAAGACTTTTCCAGAATTTCCCAAGCTTCTTTCACAGGTTCTACATCACTCACCTTTTTGAAATCATCTAAACTCAGACATTGATGAATTATAAAGAGAGTTTTATAATTCTTCTTCTTCAATTCTTTATGTGATGCCTCTTCTTCATCTGTTGCTTCTTTTACAAGCGGTTCTAATCCTTATTTCACAAGATCCCAAAGATCTTGACAATAGAACACAACATTCATCTGCTTGCACTGATTCTCATAGTTATCAACTTTCAGAATTGGAAGACTTGCTGGAAAATACCCGTTTGGAATATTCATTGCCATCGTGATTTTCTTCCTCTGAATCGCTCAACCGAAGCTCTTGATACCAGATGTTAGAAATCCACCAAAACCTATGGAGAATTTCTATCAATCTTGATGAATAAGATTATTATCGATACATAATAACCATGAAAAGAAAGAAAATTGAGGAAGAAAGAAAATTAGGGTTTGATAAAATATGGGAGAAGATGGTGATTTCTGCAGAGTTTCTCTCTGCTCTGAAACTGTGGAAAATCTTATTCACTTGCAACTACAAATTATGTGAATACTCTATGTTACAAATATGAGTTACTCCCTCTATTTATAATGAGTTTTCTTGCTCCCTAAGTCGAAGTCCACAAATTCAAAAGCCCAAAATACTTAATTTACTAACACTACAAAATAGACCTAAGTCGAAGTCCTGTCGAGACAACTCCTTTGATACTTTGACTGTTAAACAACTCGACACACACATCAATTTCGACACAACTTTCTTTTTGTCGAACAACATATTGCTTTGATACAAAATATTATAATCTCAAGACTGATCCCATTCCAATCACATGCATAGAAGATGTGTTGGTAAGAACCTTTGTTGGAATTCAACACTGCCTATGTTGTTTTTGTTGTTCTTTTTTGTTGTTCTGGTTGGGAAGGTTTATGTTAAGGTTGTTACATTTATTTGATGATGGATTAAGCTTTGCTAGCAAACTATTATATATAGCTAAAAAATGTTACATTATTCTTTATGGTAGAAATATTATCACTAACATTATTCTAATTTGTTTTTTAGAGGGTAGGTGGGTTATGATCATTTCTACCACCATTTCATTTGATTGAATAATCAACATCACTAAAGTTTGTGGTGCCATAGTCCAACTATGAATGTATATATTCATTATTATACATAGTAAGTAATACTAATACACATCTTTGACTTTTCGTTTAGAAATTTGTATGGTGTATGTTGTATCCGTATTTTTTGATTATTTGTGGATATAGTATACATTCTTAATTGGTAACATCTGTATTTTAGGCTTAAATAGTATATTGATTTATGTAATTTAGTGTATTTTTTATTTTAGTTTTTAATTTATTTTTTAAAATAATTTTTAAATATTAATTTTTTTGTTTGTTTTAGTTTTTAAAATTAAAATCTATAAAAAAATTCGTATTAGATTTTAAAGTTACAGAAAAATCTATAAAAAACTAATAGATTTTAAATTATAAAAGTATTCGTAAAAAAATCCATAAGAAACATACAGATTTTCATAGATTAAAATTAATAAGATTTAATATTCAAGAACTATTTAAAATATATATATATATATATATATATATATATATATATATATATATATATATATATATATATATATATATATATATATATATATATATATATATATATATATATATATATATATATATATATATATATATATATATATATATATATATATATATATATATATATATATATATATATATATATATATATATATATATATATATATATATACAAATTTAAAATTAAAAACAAAAATAGTTACAGAAAATCTATAAAAAAACTAATAGATTTTAAATTATAAAAAAATTCGTAAAAAAATCCATAAGAAACATACAGATTTTTCATAGATTAAAATTAATAAGATTTAATATTCAAGAACTATCTATATATATATATATATATATATATATATATATATATATATATATATATATATATATATATATATATATATATATATATATATATATATATATATATATATATATATATATATATATATATATATATATATATATATATATATATATATATATATATATATATATATATAATATATATATATATATATATATATATATATATATATATATATATATATATATATATATATATATATATATATATATATATATATATATATATATATATATATATATATAAATTTAAAATTAAAAACAAAAATAGTTAAACCAACATACTATTTAAGTCTTTAAAATTCTAACAGTCAAACTTGAGAAAATCTATGTATTTTAAGAATACTATGTAGTTTGAGAAGTTCTGTTATTTTCTTATCATCTAACGACCTTTCTACACAGCAGGGGCTGCTATTGTTTTTTTTGTTGATGACACTACTTTTCCAATTTTAGAGAGCGACGTAAAAATCCAAATTGGAACTAGCTGAGCATTGTGAAACTGGTGGTACAACAGAAAGAAACAAATAAGTCACGAAAATTTTTAAGCATACAATTCAAATATGAAAAGTTTTATTTATTATTAATTAGTTAATTAATTTTAATATTTTTAAAACCTTTTAAAGTGAAAATTTGAACAATTATCACACATTAATTACAATTTATTATAAAAGATCCTAATAAATAATTAAAATTAATATTTATTTAAATTTTTTTTTTCAATTGTGAGATCTAGAAATCAAAATCAATGTTGATAAGAGTGTCAAACTTGTTGAAATATTAAATTAGATTTTATATTTAAATATAATCTAAGCTGTATTAACCAAAATCCAATTAGGATTGTATATAAATAGTCATAGTGTGTATTATTATTTGTACAATTCAATAATACCAATCCTAATTTCTTTTATTATTCTATCTTTCTCGTCTCACTAAAAGTGTCTCGCGCACTAACAAATTGGTATTCAAAACTTCCGATTATTGTTCTTGATCAAGTTTTTAAGAATTTCACGTCAGAGATCGTGTTTCTAAGGCAAGTGAATCAACCACTGCGAAGATGGCTAGTGATAAGGGCATTCCGAATTCTCTTCCAATGCTTGACGGTAAAAATTGGATTCGATGGAAAAAACAGATGCAATTTTTGTTTGACTTCCATGAAACCCTAGAAGTGGTTACCGACGGCGTTCCTGCGTTGACTGCACATGGGAGTTAGTCAAATTACCAGCACATATAAAAGCTATCAAAGTAAAGTGGGTGTTCAAGTTGAAACACAATGTAGATGGGTCAATAGCAAGACATAAAGCAAGATTAGTAGCTCGAAGTTTTCTTCAAAGAGCAGGACTCGACTACTTTAAAGTATTTGCTCCAGTAGCAAAGATTAGAGATTGTTCGACTAGTGGTACCATTGGCATGCAATCAAGGCTGGTCGACATTCCATCTAGATGTGAAATCAGCATTTCTGAATGGTCCTTTAGACGAAGAAGTTTATGTCACACAACTTCCTAGGTTTGTGATTTAGAAGGAAGCGAGTAAAGTATATAGATTACACAAAGTGCTCTATGGCCTCAAGCAGGCACCTAGGGCATGGAACAAGAAGATCGACTCATACTTAGTAGAATTGGGACTTTTCAAATGTAAATCAGAGTATGGTGCCTATGTTCAGGTTGTAGCACAAGATATAACAATCATCTGCTTGTATGTTGATGACTTGCTAGTAACTGTAAATAGTTTGAAGAACTTGTCGAAGTTCAAAGAGCTAACGACGAAGGAATTTGAAATGTCGGATCTAGGAAAATTGTCTTATTTTCTAGACATGGAATTTCAAATGTCGAAGCAAGGTATGGTGCTACATCAAAGAAAGTATGTCAAAGAGATACTCAAGAGATTCATAATGGATGATTCAAATCTTGCATCCTCACATGTCGAACCAAATGTGAAGTTGGAGAAGAATGGAGAGGAAGACAAAGTCGATGCAACTTTGTTCAAGCAGATTGTGGGATCTCTGAGGTATGTGTGCAACCGTCGACCTAATATAGGTTTTGCAGTAGGATTAGTAAGAAGATATATGGGCGAACCAAGAGTGTCACATATGAAGGTTGAAGAAGAATCTTGAGATATTTGAAGGGTTCAATAAATTGTGGAATACTATTTCGACGAGATTCCGAAGGCAAAGAAACAATAGTTAATTGTTTTTCAGATGTTGATTGGTGTGGAGATAAAGAAGATCGAAGAAGTACAACTGGATATTTCTTTCAAGTATTTGGTGCCCCAATCTCATGGTGTTCGAAGAAGCAACCTGTGGTGGCATTGTCATCGTGTGAAGCTGAATATATAGCAGGATCGAAGTGAAGAAACCTCTAGTATTGCAAATAGACAACAAGTCAGCTATAAATCTGGCGAAGAATAGAATTCTGCATGGAAGAAGTAAACATATTGAAGCAAGGTTTCACTTCTTGAGGGAAAAAGTAAATCAAGGTGAACTTGAAGTTAGGCATTGCTCAAGTGCACAGTTGGCCGATATTTTCACCAAATGACAACTTGAATTATGAGGGTGTGTTGAAATATTAAATTAGATTTGATTAGATTTAATATTTAAATATAATCTAAGTTGTGTATCAAATCCTTATTTCTTTTATTATTCTCTCTTTCTCTCCTCACTAAAAGTGTCTTTGCTATATTATTCCAACACTCCCCCTCAAGTGTGAGTCCACAATGCTCTCTCACTTGTACCGCAATTGACTTCTTGCAATGAAACACCATTTCCTCATCGACGCAGGTTCATGATACCATATTGAGGGGAGATACTAGGAGCATTGATACATCGTGTAGGACTAGACACCTTTGTAAGAGACACACCACTTATCCATCTAAAACCTTAAGGTGATAGGTGAGTGAGTTCTCCCACTTATATATATATGCTTAAGTCTCCATATTCCTATTCAATGTGAGACTATTTCTCCACTTACTCACATTTGCTATATTATTCTAACAAAGACAATAATTACCTTCTCTATAGATATGAGAAACCATAATGATTGCCCTTATATTCCCCAACACTAATGATGCCATTTTAATATCCAATGAAGCACCGAGGAGTATTAGGAATTAAAGGAGTCAGTTTATCCTTCAAAACTCTTCTATGGATATAATTAGTGGAAGCATAGATGGCAGATAAACCAAAACATTTATCTTGATAATTTAAGGATAAAGTAACACGATGACCAATACAAAATATAATAAAGTCAATAAAAAATAATAATACAAATTTCAAAGACTGTAAAATAAAATAATAATGTAAAATAACTTGGAGAAACTGAAATTTAAA